CTGTACTCATATCCATACTCTTTGTACACTCATTGTATATATGCATATATTTATTTGGGCATGTACTCGATTATGCAATACATGTTTTAATTTAAAACACTTGGCATACATCTTTTGGACATATATCCTACATGATACATCCACTTTTGAAATTTATTGGACATAGCTGAGGTTCCTTATTGAAAGATAGTGTATTGCCTTTGATCCGCAAGCGTCTTGATACGTTGACAATAGGCTGCAACGTTAGGAAAATCATCAAGTCGAACCTGAGAGAGTTGGTACTCAAGATGGACGGCTCTGGAGGTTTTGTTGTCGTGGAACAAATCGGCTAAGTGGTTCCAAGCATCCATGGCCGTGGCATCTTGTTCAAGAATGGTAGGGAGAACGTCGTTAGTAATCGTGCCATAAATCCATTGAAGGACAATGGCGTCTAAACGATCCCAGAGGTCGTTGTCCTCGGTTTTCGCATCCTTGGACGAAGATGTCTTCTTCCCTGTGGCTGTTGAAGTCAGTGGAATGATGTGGTCAAGGACTTGATAGGCCCTTGCGTGAATCTTGAATAATGTGGCCCAAGAATTGTATTGTGAGCTTTCCATGTCAAGAATGACTGGGATGAAGTTTTTGATATTGTTGACAGCCAAAGCGGGATGAAACTTGTTGGTTTCTGCCATGGAGAAAGAAGAGAGAAGGTGGAGGAAGAGGAAGAAGAGGGAGGCAGGATACGGAAGAAGACGGCGGCTAGGGTTCGTAACCTAGTCTGATACCATGAAAGATAGTGTATTGCCTGCTATAATTAAGGAATCATAACAACAGAATATTTACATGCTATATATAATAATATATATAAGATTATTAACATAATCTATCACTTATGACTTTGAAGATTTGTTTGGATGTCAAGTTCAAAAACTAGTAATTTTTCAATCTATAATCCACACGATAAGAGAAAAATAAAAATGTTATAAGAATTTTAATTCTCATTCTTAGTTCTCATATAAATAATTAATTCTAAAATATAATATGTGTATATAAATATTTATACAGTCATATCCCTGCATCCTACCTTTTATAAATTTGACATGTCCGTACCCGTACTCGTACACGTATTCATGCAACGTAGTCGATTTCAAAAAGATACTAGGAAATTTAAGGAATGATGTTTCCTCATAAGCTAAAAATGTTGTTCTTCTCCAACCGTGGGCTCACAGAATACAGCAACTAGTATTCTAACGCAACGCAGAAGTGATAACCTCGGAATCCACCAAGGGGTGTTCTCTGAATCCACAAAAAACGATCTCCGAATCCACGAAGAACTTCGAATCCACAAATAAAATATTAAAAAAAATTGTTGATGAAAAGTTATTATTCTTTGGGGTTACATGACTCTTCTTAAAAAGAAAAATAAATAAGACTCCTAGTAAGACTAGAATTACAAAAAAATAGAAAGTATCAAATTCTATTCTAAAAAGACTCCTAATAATAGAGAAAATGAATCATAAATCAAAATTAAAATTTTTTCCTAATCTAAGTTGACTCTAATATTGAATTTATTTCCAAATCTAAATAGACTCCAACTATATTACTAAAAATAAACTAAAAGCTGATTATTTTTGGATTTCAGCCAAAACTGGGTATTACTGATGAGATTTTAAAAATCTGACAACCTAGTTGACTCCGTCTCGTCAAGATAGGCGATTTACATATATAGTATGTCAGAATCCGTGATAATCATATTTTATTATAATTTTATACCCTCATTATCTATTTGATATGAATAAATATACCAGTAATAATTGTTTTTATCTTTAATTGCACGTTAATGAAGAATAAATCTCAAACTCTCATCTCTCAACAAAAGCCCTTGATTTAATGAAGAAATGAAGCCCATGATGCCAAACAATTTCTTTCAAATATTTTATGCAGTATTAAAAGCCCAAAATGCAAGAAAATGTCAAAAGGCCCAAGCCCAAAGCCTACAAGAAGAAGGATTTTCGGAAAAGCAATCAGAGTCCACTGGGCATCGATGCCAGCATCGATGCCAACATCAATACCCCTATCGATGCTGGTATCGATGCCATCGTCATTCTGTTACGAATCTAAGGTTGAAATTCATGGTTTTTAGATAAGATTTCGATCCAAGAGCTCTCATTCACTGATGTTTACTATAAATAGGGGTAGAGAGTGAGGGGTTAGAGGTGTAAAAATTTTTGTAACTCCTTTTGGAGAGGAGGGCTACTCTTAATTGAGAAGGCCTTCCAAATTTATAACTTTTTATTACAATTAATAATAATAATTTTTTCACTACTTTAAATATTTCTTCTCTTTGTTGGATGATGAAGATGAAGATGAAGAATTATTTAGAGGTTTGCATTTCTTTTCTTTTTCTCTTTTATTTTTTTTATTGCTTATTAGTTTAGATTTATTTCTATGCTTATAGTTAGATTTTATTTTCTTGTTAGCTAAGAAGCTAGAACCCTCTTGCCTTAGATTTATTTCATGCTTATAGATTAGATTTATTTCATGCTTATAGAGATTTATTTCATGCTTATAGATTAGATTTATTTCATGCTTATAGAGTAGATTTATTTTCTTGCATTTACTTCTTGTAATTTATTTTGTAGTTTAGATTTTATAATTTATTTTGTAGTTAGATTTTAATTTCTTATACTATTCACCTTGAGGCTAGAACCCTCTTGGGTTTAGTTTTTCTTTTTGTTTATTTTTATTTTATTTAATTCACCTTTAGGCTAGAACCCTCTAGGGAATTACCATTTTCTAAAGAAGTGGGTTCAATTTTAGATTACTCATATCTATAATTGAATCCACCATCTTTAAATTCTTGCATTTTCTTTTATTCTTTAATTTTATTTTTTTCATTCTTGATTTTCATTTGTTTCTCGATTTTATTCATTCTTGCCTTATTGATCACATTCATTCTTTGTCACATCCACTTTCACTTACATTTTGCGCCTATTTACACACCATGTTCACTCTCTCAATCTCTTCACAATCACATTCACTCATCACTCATATTTGTCACGCACACAACATAAGAATCGATTTTATATTTTCTCCTACAAAACATCTTCCTCGTGGGATCTATATCTTTATACTATAACTTGACACGGTTGTGCACTTGTAACTTTTTTGTACATGTTTATGCCGCATCAATCCGCCTTCTGAGTTGGAAGATATGATTGTTTTTTTATGGAAGTTAATAATACGTATAAATCTGTATTTAGCTCGTGATTGTCTGATTTCTCCATAAAATTGTCTGATTTCTCCATGAAATTGTCCGTCAAACGTCCTGCATCATATTCTAAAGTCAAAATTTCTGTAGCATTTAGATAATATAATTACTATATGCACCACCATATCACCTTCAGTGTCATTTCTGTTAGATCTACATCATAAAACTTGAGATCTAAAACCATATAGCCATGATTAATTCAAAGAGATTAACAAATAATCAAAAGAGCGGAAGCTTATACCTGAATCCATAGATTGATCTTGATTTTGGGTTTTGGATCTTCTAACCTTAGGGTTTCTCTAAAACCGAATTTCTCTAGCTAGATGGGGGTGTAGAGAATTAGAGAATGTAACCCTAGGTTAGGGACCATAACCCCTTATTTATAGATGTTGTACTTTTATAATTTAGCCCCTCAATAAATCACAATTACAACCTGGTATCTGCACATATAACCCCATGATTATATTTAAATACCCATTAACCCAACTTAATTGATCACTTTAGTGGGTTATCCTGAAAGATAGCAATACACATTGATTAATCATATGTGCCCACAAATAAATTTATGTTAGGGCTTGGGAAGAAGAAGCAGTCTAGGGGGTTTTTATAAAAGAGTTTAAACCAATTAAAAACAAAAACCCAATCTTCCTATTTAGGAAGATAATCTTCTTTTCAGACTCTCAGCTCAGACTGTGCCAAACACTAATAAGTGAAAGCACAGTGAACGAGGCAAAAACCGACCGTTTAAAAAAGTCGCGGCTGACCAAAGAAAATTTTGGTCGTCCGAGATAACCTTCGGTCGACCGAAAAATCACGTCGGTCGACCGACCAAAAAATTCGGTCGGCCGCAAGCTGCTTCGAAAACTTTGAAAACAAACAGAAACATCTTCGGTCGACCGGTGCGGTCGACCGATTTGAAAGTCGAGGTTTCGGTCGACCGTACTGGTCGACCGACGACCTCTCTGGAAAATAGTGAGGAAAGGCGATGGGAGCGGTCGACCGGACCGGTCGACCGCTTTCTGACATTTTACAGAAAACCCAACTTGAAATATTTGCAAAATATTTATTTGACCTCTGAAAAATCTGAAACTTTGTAAAATATTTTTTATACTAAAAATAAACTGTTTGGAAAAAGAATTTTGCAGATAGGTCCTCATACTTGTGAAAATTAGTATTTTTTGAAAAACGCTTAAAAACACAAGTATGAAAACGTGTGTGTGATTCCCAATAGCTTCAAGTAACCTCAGTAACTCTTTGCCTACATTCTAGCACTAGAGAGGGAAACAAAAGAAAGCTAATATCCTCATATAGAGAGCAATATACTTGAGCTTTGATATAGCTTGAATCGGATGAAGCTTGTATTCGAATTTGTCGTTCTTAAAATAACGTTGCTTCATCTCTTGGCCTCCACCTCCTTTGGATATCTTCGTTGTAGCGTATATTCCATCCATCCTCCGTTAATGGCACTAACGAGCTTGATAAATGAACTTACTATATTTACACTCAATAAGCCATTAGTACCGATAATGGTGGTTGTAAGAACATCATCAAAATATAAGGGCTAACACCAATGACCCACTCCTAGATCGTGCATGTATCTAGAAATCATGCTCACCGCCTGTGATAAATCCGGTCTCATACATATCATCGCATACATCAAGCTCCCAACCGCGCTCGCATATGGAGTCTTCGACATCAACTCTCTATCTTCAACTGTCTTCAGTGAAAGATCAGCTGAAAGTTTCAAATGGGCTCCCAATGGTACACTAACTGGCTTCGTATCCATGCTAACATGAAATCGCTGTAGAACCTTCTTCAAATAAGTCACTTGTGTCAAATAAATTCTATCATTCTTCTTGTCTCTGCCGATCTCCATCCATAAAATATGCTTCACCTTACCCAAATCTTTCATCTCAAACTCATTTGAAAGCTAAACTTTCAACTCATCTATAGCCGACCTAGAAGTAGAGGCAACCAACATGTCATCGACATAAAGTAACAAATAGATGTACGCACCTTCTTTCAACTTACGAAAATATACATAAGGATCAAACTAGCTCCGAGTGTATGAATGACCAATCATAAAACCATCGAATCACATATACTACTGTCGAGGAGACTGCTTCAAACCGTATAGCGATTTCTTTAACCTGCAAACCAACTTATCTTTCCCTGCAGCTCGGAATCCCAATGGCTGAGTCATATATATTTCTTCATTAATATCACCATGAAGAAATGTCGTCTTCACGTCCAACTGATCTAACTCCAAACCATACTGTGCCACCAAAGCTAGCAAAATCCGAATCGAAGAATGCTTCACCACTGGAGAGAAAATCTCATTATAGTCAATACCTTCCTCCTGTGCATAGCCCTTCACAACCAACCTAGCTTTAAACATCAATGGAGTGCCCTCAATACCCTCCTTCTTCGTGTATACCCACTTGTAACCAATTGCCTTCCGCCCCTTTGGAAGCTCAATAAGCTCCCATGTATCGTTCTCATGAAGAGTTTTCATCTCCTCCTACATAGCCACCTGCCACGAATCAGCCTCTGAACTCTACTCGGCCTCTCTGAATGTAGTAGGTACCAACTCATCGATACTCTCCACCGGAAGTGCATACGCAACTGTGTCGACATACCGTGCTGGTATCTGTATGTTTCTCCTCTGTCTCTGAACCGCAATAGAATCCTGAACCTGAACTGTCGGTTCCTGATCCTGCACATCAGTACCCGTATCCTCTGTATCACCGTCGTGCTCGCCTGGCATCACCTTAGTCGGCACTCTAATGGATATTGTACCATCTGGACAATGTGGAGCTGCATCGATCTCCACCACCTGTGATATCTCCTCTGTCGGGTCGCTCTCCACTTGATGAGAGCTGGAAAGCTTCAAGATAGAATCCTCATCGAACGTGACGTCCCTACTCAGCATAATCTTTTTATCAACTGGATCCCAAAGCTTGTATCCCTTGACACCATGCTTGAATCCTACAAATATGATCTTCCTAGCTCGAGGTTCTAATTTATCTGTTCTCACATGATAAAATGCAGGGCACCTAAATACCTTGAGCTGGTCATAATCGTGTGCTGGCTCTCCCGACCACTTCTCCATAAGGGTTTTCCCCTCAATCGCAGATGAATGCAGCCTATTAATGAGGTGGCTCGTATATGTAAGTTCCTCAGCCTAAAAGATCTTCTCCAAACCACTCTGCGACAATAAGTATCAGATCTTCTCCAGTAAAGACCGATTTAGTCTCACTGTCACCCCCATTCTGCTGCGGTGTATGACTAACCATGAAGTGTCTCTCTATGCTCTCATCTCGACATAGCTGCAGAAAGGGGTTGATGTGTACTCGCCGTCGTTGTCGGATCGTAACGTCTTGATCTTTCTCCCAGTCTGTAGTTCCAATCCCTTCTTCCACTCCACAAATATATCTAAGACTTCACTCTTCTTCGTCATGGTGTACACCCAACAACGTCTAGAATAGTCATCAACGAACATGACGAACCAATGTCGACCACAAAGTGATGCAGTCTTGGTGGGACCCTAAACATCTGTGTGCACGTAGTCCATGATGCCCCTCGTCCTATGAATGGCCGTCTCAAACTTCACCTTCATCTTCTTGCCAAGAACACAGTGCTCACAGAATTTCACTTTACCACTCTTGGCTCTCTTCAATAGCCCCTGCTTGCACAAAGCCTACAATAACTTCTTACCTGTGTGCCCCAACCTATAGTGCCAAAGTTTGCTCATGTCTGCTTCTGAAATAGCCGAAGAAACCTAGCAATCTTGGTGCTTCCCTTTAGATAATACAAATTCTGATTGCGGACTCCCTTCATTACCACCAATGATCCCTTAGTAACCTTCGCTACAGCGTTTTCGAAAGTCACCTTGAATCCCTTCGCCTCCAAAACTCCAACTGAGATAAGATTTTTCTTTAGTTGAGGAACAAATCTCACCTCCTTCAACTCACGGACTACTCCATCGTGCATCCTAATCCGCACGATACCTATCCCATAAACGCCACAGGATTGATCATTTCCCATGACAACAATACCCCCGTCGACTTTCTCAAAAGATGCAAACCAGTCTCGCCTAGGGGTCATATGATAAGTAGCACTGGAATCAAGCATCTAATCTGATACATCCACATAATTCATCTCCAGAGTAATCAGTAGAAAAAAGCACGAATCATCGGAATTATCGCCTTTCGCAACGTTCACCTCATTGGCCTTCGGGCCCTTTTTCTTGCCATTCTCCTTCTCCTTGAGCTTCGGGCAGTCTCTCTTCCAATGTCACTGTTCCTCGCAGAATACACATTGGTTCTTTGCTAATTGATGACAACTTCTTAACTTTGACCTCCCTCTATTACCTCCTTTCGGATATGGGCTTCCACCTCTCGTCGACAAGGCCTCGCCTGAAGTGCTAGCACGGGAAGTCTCCTTGTCCTTCCTCCTCAAATCGTAATTGGTCAATGCGTTAGTCACTTTACTATAGCTGATAGAAGATCTCCCGTTCAACAAAGTGAGCACGAAGGTATCATACTCCTCATCCGGTAAGGAGCCCAATAAAATAATCGCATTGTACTCATCCGATATCTTCTCATCAACATTCGCCAACTCCGACAACAACTTCGTATAGTTGTTCACATGAGCCACAAGCGAGTTGCCTCTGGACATTTGGAATCTGAATAATCTACGCAGCAAATGCAACCTGTTCTCAACACTCCTCATAAGGTATTTATTGTTGAGAATTTCCCACATCTTTATCGCAGACATCACCCCAACCATATCATATTTCAACTCCTGTTCCAAATAGGATCTGATCACCCCACAAGCGTTCCTAATTATTTTTTCTCATATCACCTCTTCATATTTTGGTGGTCTTTCGTGGACCATAATGGTCTCCTCCAAGTTCTGAGCATTAGCGCATCCTGTACGTCGCTCATCCATAAACCAAAGTTGATTTTACCGTCATACTTCACCACACTAATTTTGGTGTTTTGAAAACTAACTTGAACTGTACTCGCCGTCGACTTGCTGCTTTCACCTTCTTCTCTCATTGCAAACTAACTCCAAATTGTAGAGAAATTGCAAACTAACTCCAAATTGTAGAGAAAAAATAAATTTGATAGAAATTAGGAACCACCCAACTGAACCTTAGATCGGATTCTAAATAGATCTCCTATCCACACGAGGAAAGCGAAATCTCCAACGGCAACTCCTAATGCTATCTCCACCGAAGCCTAGAACTCCAAGAATCAAGCTTCACACAAGAATCTTTCTCCACCAAACTCCAAAACCCTAGATCTAAAATCTGGGCTCTGATATCACTTGTTACGCGCAGCGGAAATTTCGGCAGCACTTCGGCAACACAACAAGAGTCAGGTTGCAATAGAAAATCCTGTTTCACCAAGGAAATAAGAACCTTAAGCAAAATATCTCAACCAAGTGAGATATCAGTTCTTCCTCTCATCAGTTCTAGGACTGAATCTCAACCAAGTGAGATATCAGTTCTTCCTCTCATCAGTTCTAGGACTGACCTGTCGAGGGAACCTAAAAGCTATTACAAATCACACTAGGACTGACCTGTCGAGGGAACCTAAAAGCTATTACAAATCACACAAATAACGAGACAACCAATTTTATGTGGTTCGGTAAATAGCCTACGTCCACGGGGCAAGGAGGGGGGAGATCTACTACTAGAGGGAGAGAATACAACTAGGGTTTACAATCACTCAATCTAAACCCTCAAACAATCTCTCAAATCCCTCACACAAATATCTCTCCCAAAACAGCAAAACAAAAGCCGCACAGGAAATCCTCATGCACCAAACCCAATGCCCTCAGCTGCCGAAATTAACAAAGCTCCTGCACATCTTCGTACTTGCACGCTGCCAATGAAAAAGCTTCTTTATTACTATAGGAGAACAACAAAAAGTTATAATGAACAGTAATATAAGTTTCTATGCAATGAAAAAAATAAAATGAGAACCCACGTCATCTATGTGCTCCCACGTTCTACTAAGCCCATTTCCCAAACTTCCCACGTTCCATCCTTTCTTCTAACTAAACCCCCCTTCCGCTCTCGTGATCTCTCTCCCTCCCCACTTCCGCTCTCAACCGGTGGTGGCGACGACGACAATGAAGAGATCTCTCTCCGCCGCCATCTCCAACGGCGACGACCTCTTCCCCTTCATTCACCGCTTCTTTGCCCAGTTCAAGCCCGAGGCCCTCCTCCACAACCTTCGCCTCTTCGCCTGATCCAAGGAGTCCGAGATCGAGTCCGTCTGCAAAGCTCACTACCAGGACTTCATTCGCGCATAAATTAAAAGGGGAAGAAAAAGAAAGGAAAAGCCAACAACATAGACTTCAACTCCAAGGCAGAAGAACGAAGACCTAGCAGCAGAGAAGAAAAAGATTCGATTCTTTTTCTTCTTTTCCAGTGCAATTCTGGGGTAATTTCCTAAAGTCTCGGTCTCAAATTCTTTAACTAGGTATTTATTCAAGAAAGCATCATCGTGTTTTGATCCTTACATGTTTGATAACTTGGAAAACCCTAAAAAGTTTCTTCCTTTATTGTAGTATTGATTCTAATTAGCGATGTGTCTTCGAAATTTTTTGTTTGATCCTGTTGGTAGTAAGTGATTGGTTCAGAATAAACCCTAAATCCAGAACAATATGGTCCAAATGTGCTAAAATTTAAAGGTATCATCGAGTATTATTCAATATTGGCGACTACTCTCTCTAAATTTAGTATTATGGGTATTGATCATCTTAGAGTGAAAATTCCCAACATTGTAGCTCTCCTTAATCAAACATGGACGAGGCTTTGCCCTTTTTTTTAATTTTTTTATAGCAATTCAATTGTTAGTTTCTTCTATATTTGCATTTTTATATGACTTAATCGAGGTTAATGAATTTATGACTCTCTTAATTAGATGTGTGCTGTAAAGATTTCTGATATTTTTCTGTTTATTTGAAGGTTTAGGATTTGTTCTCCTCTATTCTTTGGCACAAGGTTTGAGGTTTAAAGATGAGTGACAATATAATGGAGAAAGTTAACGCCTTTGGTGAACGCCTGAAGAATCAGATTAGTAGTTCAGAAGTTGGGTGAAAGATGACAGAAGGTATGAGCTCCATGAGTTTTAAGATGAAAGAGTTTTTTCAAGGTTAGAACCAAGTCGAAAAGGTTGTTGAGGAGGCCACTACTGGGAGCTTGGAGGGGCTTGATTGGGCTACTAACCTTGAGATTTGTTACATGATCAACAACGAAAAGATTAACAGTGTTGAATTGATCCGTGACATCAAGAAACGAATAATGCTGAAGAATACGAGGATCCAATATCTTGCATTAATTTGGACCTTTTTTTTACTAAAGAATGAATGCTTTTGGTTCTTAACCATCCCGTGCATTTGACATTTTCTTGACTTAAATGATCACATATAAATCATTCATATACGGTGAATAACATATAAATTTTTAGCTATTGGATACTTTACCTTCTACGTAATATGCAGTTATTTATTTATTTTTCTGCTGGGAAATTTGGACTTCAGGGAAAATGATGGCAATAGCTGTGAAGCCTGCGAAGCAAGTGGAAGATAAGAGAAGAACTAATACGAAACAAAGAAGGGTTGTGGTGACAGGGATGGGCGTCATGACTCCATTACGCCACGAGCCTGATGTTTTCTATAATAATCTCCTCAACGGTATAAGTGGAATCAGTGAAATAGAAAATTTCGACTGTGCCGGCTATCCAACGGTATATCCTCTTCTTTGCATAATTCATGTTTATAACCTCATTTTAAAATACTTTCTTTGTAGACATTTCTTATGTTTTACATGATCAATTAGTTTCAAGTGAGATTAATTTATAGAAACATTTGACCATGTCAACAGCATCATGTTAGACTCCAGGTTTTAGTACTTTATAATAGTCATATTGTTACTACTTATTAATATGTTGTAAGCAAGCATGGTAAAGAGTGATACCCCTTTTTTGATCCCTGATATTTGAACTTTTTGTCTATAGAGAATTGCAGGAAAGATTAAATCGTTTTCAACAGATGGATGGGTGGTACCAAAACTATCTAAGAGGATGGACAAATTTATGCTTTACATGCTTACTGCTGGTAAAAAAGCTCTGGTGAATGATGGAATTACTAAAGAAGTTTTGAATGAGCTAGACAAGACGAAGTGTGGTGTTTTTATCGGGTCTGCAATGGGTGGCATGAAGGTAGAATTTCAAAAATATTTTTGATCTGAAGGAAAGTTGTTTCCCCTCCTTTTATCAGCTCTTGGTCTCATATTATGTTGATGAATTGAGCTGTTACACTTTAATCTTTATTTTATGCCTTTATGTATGTTATAGTCGTGGTACTCATAAAGATGGATGCTATTTTTTATAGGTCTTCAATGATGCAATCGAATCTTTGAGGGTCTCATACAAGAAGATGATCCCCTTTTGTGTTACCTTTGCAACTACAAATATGAGTTCGGCTATGCTAGCAATGGATATGGTGAGCCAAAGCAAAATCTGAAGAAACCTACCTTTGCATACTGATCCTTCAATATTTTTTGAGAATTTACTGTTAATTTCTAGAAGCCTACCTTTGCATACAACTGCTTCAATATTTTTGAGAATTTATTGTTAATTTCGTCTAAGTTCCTTCTTCTCTTCCCTTTGGACTATAGGGCTGGATGGGCCCGAACTATTCAATTTCAACTGCTTCTGCTACAAGCAACTTCTGTATCCTGAATGCAGCTAACCATATCATAAGAGGTGAAGCTGTAAGTTATCATGTTCTCCCTCTTATTTGTAGTTAGAAGAAAATATACTGTCATTTTTTCTATGTACATAAGTGTGCTAATCTTGCAAGATATCATGCTTTGTGGTGGCTCTGATGCAGCAATAATACATATTGGTATTTGTTCTTTCTGCTAATGAATGCTATTCTTCCTCACTGTTTTACCTTCATGGTCTTTATTAACTATTGTTATTATTATGATAATAAATCATCATACATATCATCGTCTTCGTCGTTGTCCAGGATTAATTGTATACTTGACATGCGTAGGGTTGGGAGGTTTTGTGGCATGTCGGGCACTTTCACAAAGAAACAATGATCCAACCAAAGATTCACGACCATGGGATAGTGTATGTATAGATAGATGAATGATGACAGAGTTCAAAAGGAGATACTTTTTTTGTATTTGTGCTTATACCTGTGTAGATGTGCAATCACTTATTATCAAGATTACGATTAATTGGCACATTTATGTTAATATCTAGCTTAATTGTCATGTGACAGGAACGTGATGGATTTGTTATGGGAGAAGGTTCAGGTGTACTATTATTGGAAGAACTCGAGCATGCTAAGGTTTTATTACAGTCAGCTACCACTAACTTGATGTGATGTGAAGTCTTTATCTAATCATGTTTTGTTAAAATATTTTCATTTTCATGATTGTTTTTCTTCCTTTCTATAGCAAAGAGGAGCAAACATATATGCTGAATTTTTGGGAGGAAGTTTCACCTGCGATGCTTACCATATGACAGAGCCACACCCTGAGGGTAAAAAATAATCTCTCTTTTACATTGAATATTGAATAAGTGTTGCTTGGTCTAATACCCGGTCCTGATTCAGGTATCATAAATAAACTCTTATCCTCATCGAGCCATTATTATTTTTATTGATTTCTTCAATTATTGAGGGTTTTGATCTCTGAGTTTTGTCCAAATTGTGCTTAAAGGGGGGCATTTGCAAGTAATTGGATCCGAAAACATGAAATGAAAAGTTATCGTGAGGAACATAACAGATAGCTATGTTATTTTTATCTAGCTCAATTCAATTATTGATTTTTTGGGTGTATATACTCCTGTTCCTTTGACCAATTATTGTTTTTTGATCAATTTATGCAATTATTGTGGGTTCTGATAATTGTTTGAGGAATAAAATGGGCAATTATGTTCAATTTCTCTAGCTCAAAGTGAATCTCATGTGCTTTTGAGTCAGATAACTGTTTAGAATGCATTATTTTTCAGTGAGATTTTGCGGAAGCAATAAGGGAACTACATAATGTAGCTTCCAGGACATATCCTCATGCATATTTCGATTCAAGCAATGCAATTTACCATTAAAGCTATTCTATGTTTTAGTAGAATTTCAGCCAATATTCCCGTAATGCTAAATTAGAAGGCTCTAAATGTTAAATAGGTGAGAATGAGAATAAAGTTGTCTTGGATGCATTTTTCTTGAGCAAGGCTTTTGCAACTGCTTCATTTATGATATATAATTGACTTTACATCTTTCAACACTGCCCAACCACCGCTCAAGGGTACCTCCGCTCCCTAACTTCCACCGCTCCCCAACTGAGCAAAATGGAGCGGTAATATTTGGCAATGATTTATAGAATTGCTTGAAAAGTGAAAGGAGAATGAAGAGCAAGAGCACTAGGAATAGCAAGTAAGGAGGTCAGTTTTACTTCTAGAATTCCATTTTGTAAAGTAACCTGCTATTTATCGACACAGCAAACTATGTTGTAACAATGGGAAGATTTTTAGTTAAGATATTCTATCGGTCCCTGATTGCTGACAAAATATCTAGAGACTCAAGAGAAAAATACGCTGTCAGGGAAATCTTAAGTGTGGTTGGTCAATATCAAGTTGAGCAGTAGAAGCAAGTACGAGATTTTCAGGTAAAAACAAGCACAAAGGTTTCACATACATAACCTATATAGTTGTATACTTGCTGTTCATTTTGATAATCATATGGTCTTTCTTCAATCCATCTATGGCTAATATGTATGATAATATTTTTTTATTCTTGAAACCTTCAAGACTAATATGAAGTAATAAATGAAGAAGTATGAACAAAGTAAAATATTTTTTCCTGTTGAAATAGTTTCCTACATGCTGATTCTCTCCCTTAACATAATTGTAACTCAAACTACTATTCTTTTGCGGTTTACATTAGCATATACTACAGTTGAAGATGAAGTTTTAGGAGGCCAAGAAAAGGAGGACGAAGAAAGCCTAAATCCAGAGAATCAATCATTCTCTCTTTCCATTCAACGAGGCAACAATTTATCACATTTCTCCCTTATTTTGTAGGGTAGTTTAAGCCCTAATGTCAACAAGGATCTTATATGTTGTTTGTATAAGTTTTTGTATCCTTTTTTGTTGTTTTTCTGTATAGGTTTTTAATTTTATATGTTGTCTGTACAAGGATCTTATTTGTTGTTTTTCATGTTCAATATATGAAGGAGCAAATTGTAACCGTCTTTGATTCACTTTACACATGTTCAATATTTGTAGAAAATCTTTTAGAAACCGTGCTTTGCACGGGTCTAAATACTAGTTATATCCTAAGAGAGAAAGTATATATATATATATATATATATATATATATATATATATATATATATATATATATATATATTATTAATATATATATATATATATATAATATATATAGAGAGAGAGAGAGAGAGAAGAGAGAGGAGAGAGAGAGAGAGAGAGAGAGAGAGAGAGAGAATAATGGAGGTGAGCTGGTAGCTCACCTACCCGCGTGAGGCTGGCAAGTGTATGACATGTGAGCCCCTACTAGTCACATCGGTGTTGGGGGTCACATGTCATACACTTGCAGCTCACGGGGTAGGTGAGCTGGGCCAGCTCAGCCTCCATTATTCTCACATATATATATATATATATATATATATATATTATATATATATATATATATAATATAGAGAGAGAGAGAGAGAGAGAGAGAGAGAGAGAGAGATAATGGAGGTGAGCTGGCAGCACCTAACCCCCGTGAGCTGCAAGTGTATGACATGTGAGCCGCCCTACTAGTCACATCGGTGAGGGGCTCACATGTCATACACTTGCAGCTCACGGGGTATGGTGAGCTGCTAGCTCACCTCCATTATTCTAATATATATATATATATATTATATATATATATATATATATATATATATATATATATATATATATATTATATATATATGTCTGTAAGATCCAATCGGGTGGGCCTTGCTGTGTTTTCGCGTGGGCTCCCCCCCCCCCCTACAAGAGGTGGAGTTATTGAGTTGGTGAGTTCTAGAATCCTACTTATTTCTTTTAGAAGAATTAAAAGTTATAACAAAAAAAAAGTAGCAATTGGTTACTATTTATCTAAATTATTTAGTAGAGGTCCTTTGCAAATTCACTTCTTGGGTCTCCAGATTAAAATGAATCAAAGGCATAAAGCAAACGGAGGAACTACACAATCATGTTTACTATTTTTTAATAAAGTATATACATGACTGCAAACACAGTTTAAAATGTTCTTTCCACTACTGTAATTAATCTTCGAATAAGTGCAAGGCTTACAGTGTACACATTATTTAAGCATAAATTTCACTACCATGAATTTTGCAAGTTATTATGTACAGAAGATACTTGCCTTAACTCTAACATGTTCCCTGAAGAGCGAACACTGCCAAGATCTGTAACACTAGCTCATCACATGATTTCTCAACGTCTACATAGTAAATATGAAAAAAGAAGATCATAGAATGCAACAAACTAATTGAGTGTTTACTTTATATAAAATTTGATAAAAGCGAGTCTTGGCTTATGTAATAAACATGAGAAGATCATCCATTATTCTTCTTACTTCTTTTTATGCTAGGTATATGCAAAGATCTCATTTACGCTACAAAAGTTGAAACACAACAATTGAACTAATCAAGATCAAAGGAACAAACATCCTGGAATTGATATACAATCTTAATGCACAATAGTGATCTTGGCTCAAACATAATTTTTTTTTGCTCCTCACTATCCAAGCACTCAAGCAGCCATAAAAAGTTGGGTTGAAGGACCAAAAATGAATAATAGCATTAAACATCACTAAGATGCGATAGCCTACGATAGCGCTTTCAGAAATCATTGTAGGGACATAAATACACTAATGATAGAGTAATGTTGTAACTGCATACTTAATATGTGACAACCTCGGCCCGAAAATCCGGGCCTGACCAGGTTCCGGGCCCAGATACGAGCTGCCTTAGCGGCGCCCAGTCCGGGCCAGGCCCAGCCCGGAACACCACCGGCGCCGAGCAAAAATCCGGGCCAGGCAGCCCGGGCCAGGAGCCCAGCCCGGTGGCAATGGTCACCTATGGTGACCGTTGCCAAAATAGGCCGGGCCGACCCGGTCCGGCCCGGCCATAACGGTCACTCTCGTGACCGTTGTGGCCAAAACGGCCGGGCCGGGCCGGCCATAACGGCAAAAAACGGTCAAAAAACGGCTATTTTATGAGGTTATTTTAATCATTTGTTTAGGGGGCTGCCTCTATAAATAGAGGGAGGTTTTTATTTGTTTTCTTCACACCAATACTCATCTACTTCTCTCTTATACTCTTATACTCTCTTATACTCTTATATTCTCTTATACAATCTTATACTCTCTTATATTTTCTAATCCTTTCATCAAATGACTTCCGGATCTAATTATGAAGAGCAAAACCTATCTCCTGATCTTGAAATGAGTCCTCCTACTGGGTCTAGTCCTACCGATGTTAATCCCGAATCCGGTGACGACGAATCTTCACCAAGAGCTCCTAAAAGGCCAAGATCCGATGTGTGGAATTTTTACGAGAAGATTGACGTCACCAAGGATGAACACGGTAGGATCCTCACCCAGAAGGCTAAGTGTGCGTTGTGTGGCAATATTTTTCAAGCTCATTATAAGAGCGACACCAACCACCTCAAATGCCATTTAGATAAACACAACAAAGGCCAGATTCCTCAAGGTGATATCCGACAATCTATGATTTCTCAATCCTCCTCTTATGGTAGTCTCGGTAATTGGAACTATGACGCTGCCAGAGCCAGGAAATGCGTAATCAGGTTTATCATTCTTAAAAACCTTCCTTTTAAATTAGTAGAAGATGATGAATTTGAAGATATGTTTAGAGATAGTTTTTATCCTGCATTTAAAAAATTTTCTCGTCAAACCTGTCAATATGTTATTTTAAAATATTATCAGGAGGAACAAGAAAAAATAATTTCTTATTTTAAAAATTTAAACTGTAAATTTTCTTTAACTTCTGATATTTGGAAATATAGAGTACAAATTGGATATTTATGTATCACAACACACTGGATTGATAAAAATTAGTAAATGTTTAAAAGAGTTGTTTATTTTATTGCAATAGAAGAGTCACATACTGGTATTAATGTTGTAAATTTAATAATTGAAGAACTTATGAAAGAAGAGTCACATACTGGTATTAATGTTGTAAATTTAATAATTGAAGAACTTATGAAATTAGAAATTTCAGAAAGAATATTTTCTCTTTCACTAGATAATGCAAGTAATAACAATGTAGCTGTTGATTTTATCAGATCAACTCTGTCATTGTCATGTCATGGTGATATTTTTCATATTAGGTGTATCTATCATATTTTAAATTTAATTGTTCAAAGTGCATTTACTGAAATTAAACTCATGATAGAAAAAGTTAGAACAGTTACTTATATGCATAATGCTTCTGAGCAAAGACTTAAAAGATGGAAACAATTTTGTAAAAGAAAAAATATAAAGCCCAGACTAATTCCAAAAGATGTTGACCATAGGTGGAATTCCACCTATGCAATGTTAAGTGTAGCAATAGAATATAAAGACATTATAACTAATTTTATAAATTATTATGCTTCTAGTTCTAGTTCTGGTAGCACTTATGGAATAACTGAAGATGAATGGACAATTATATGTAATTTAAATGAAATGTTATAAGTTTTTAATGATGCTACAATGTTATTATCTGGCTGCTATTATCCAACCATTACTTTAGCTGCTTTACAAATTTTAAATATTCAAATTTTTTTTGGGAAATATCGTATGGATGATACTTTTGGACCTATGATTTTTCAAATGGAGAACAAATTTAATAAGTACTTTAGGCCTATTCCTCATATTTTCCTATGATTTTTCAAATGGAGAACAAATTTAATAAGTACTTTAGGCCTATTCCTCATATTTTTGGTTTGGAGATTCTTATTAATCCATACTTGAAGGATATTGGTCTTCGAAGTTTGTTACAATCATTGTATGGTAATCAGATTATAGACTTAGATGATGGATCCACCCTTACTGCTACTACTCATCATTTAGCTATTAGAAATTATTTTCAAACCTTATATGATGAGTATGCAGCTAGACATGGTGTAGCTATACAACAGCCTACAGCTTCGGTTTCTTAGGTAAAAGTGTAAGTTTTGATAGGTATGTAATGGTAGCTGAGCTAACTGGTGGATCTGGACTTGGATCGTCATCATTGGAGGTTTCTGAAATAGATAAATATTTATTTGCTTCTTTAGTTAAATGTTAATGAAATGCTTTAGATATTTTGCAATGGTGAAAAGTATATGGATCAGTTTCATATCCTATACTTTTCACCATGGTTCGTGAGTTACTAACAGTGTAGGTTTCGACGGTAGCTTCGGAATCCGTCTTCAGCACAACATGACGTTTGATCGACGACCACAGGACATGCTTAGATCCGTATACTATACAAGCGGCGATGTGCTTACAAGATTGGTGGAGATACGAGAAGAGAACGCAAGGATCGATCAGATGGCTTGAATTGAAGATAAATTTGAAGAATTAGGACTAGCAGATAGATATAAAGAATAAATAATATTCATCAAATTGTAATTTTTATATCTTAGCTTAAAATTTGTAAAGAATTATTTTGAAAATAATTACAAATGATAGTGATATAGGTGAGTAGGTGCCAACCTAGTTGAGATGTACTTATCTATTGTGATGCGATGAATTCCAAAATAAATTTATACTTGTAATTTGTAAATAATTTATTAATTATTAATAAAAAATTTATTTTTATAATTTTTTATTTATAATTTATGTAATTTTAGGTGATTAATAAAATTATTGTTTTATTAATTTTTTTGTCTTTTTTTTTGTATAATTTAAATTTTAAATAGAATTAAAAAAAAGAAAATAAACCGGGTCGGCCCGGAACCCGGCCTGGTCGGGCCCGGGCTCGGGCCCGGACCCGGCCCGGGGTACCCGGGGGTCCGGGTCCGGGCTCCGGTTTTGCCCGGCCCAGTCCGGATGGACACACCTAAGCATATCCGATTAATCCGACTGAACATCTAGATACAAGTAAGTTATAGTGCCTCAATTAGGTTTGACGCAAGAAAAATTTTTAGTTAAAAAATATCACATTAAGATGATGTCTATTGATCATGGTTATAAAGAAAAAAACTTAGAAAATAGTAAGGGAGTGGCTGGGGAACTATCATAAATGAGGCTGCAAGATCAAACACCCGAACTCTAACTTTCAACTAAACTAAAAGTTGTAGGAAAAAAAAGGTTAAAATTGCAAGCCCTCTTTATTACAAACCTAGAACTTTCAATTAAACTACTTCATAATTACAATAAAAGACCCTATTGCATACAGAAAGCAATTTCTTTAAATCTTTATTGGACAAAAGAGTAATAAAACTTAAGAAAGGATCAAATTGAAGTAATTGAGAATTCACAAACAACTTAAGTGATTACATACCATCTCATTGGAATGCTTATCCTCATATAAAAAGTGAAAATGAATGAGAAGTGGAAATGATTTTTTTTCATTTCTATGTTGTGAATAAATGAAAAGTGAGAATGTACATTCTAGTTTCTAAAAATGTGCTGTCTTTGATACGCATTAATAAGAAGTGAGAATTAACATTCCATTCCCACTCATTCCTATATGCCAAATGAGATGTATAATACTTGGAGGATTAATTACATACTGGTTACTTTGAGGTATGATATAATTATATGGGTGTCCGTGGAGTCTGTGTTTCTCATGGGTGACCCTGAGATTGCTAAATGTAATTACACGACCCCGGGTAACCCTAGGAGTAGCTTGTCATACGGACTCTAGGTTCACCCGTATAATTACAAATAGTAATCTCCGGATCAACAGTGTAGATACACAGATTTCAGGATCACCCATTTAATTAGATCATAGCTTAGGGTACCTGCGTGTAATTAATCCCAGTTTGGATGATTTGAGGACCTAATGTCTAAATATGAAAAAGGTATGGGACTAATATTCAAAAAGCTGCCAAAGTTTCGATATTTCCGCCCACTTTCAAAGAAGTTTTTGTGCCTTAAGTATCCCCCCCCTCATGTTCTCCGCCTCCCCCTTCTCCCTCTTCCGTCTCATCCCAATTCGCCCTCTCCGTCTTCCCATTCTGCCCCTCCTCAAAATTTCCAAAGTCCCCAAAATGTCCTCCGCCGCCATCGCCGACGCCGCGGCGGTCTCGCCACCGCTTCCCCCTCTCCGCTACCCTCCTGTTCGCCGTGACGACTCCATCGTCGACGACTATCACGGCGTCAGCATCTCCGACCCCTATCGCTGGTAAACCCTCACCTCTGAAACCCTACTTTTTAAAAATTCCTTCTTTTTTATGACTCTTTTTGCCTTCAGGCTTGAGGATCCGGACTCCGAGGAGACCAAAGAGTTCGTGGACAAGCAGTCGGAGTTGACGGATTCCGTCCTCGCCGTCTGCGACCTGAGAGAAAAGCTCCGTCAGCAGATAACGGCGTTATACGATCACCCGCGCTATGATACGCCGTTCAAGAGAGGGAACCGTTACTTTTATTTCCATAACACTGGGTTGCAGGCCCAACGTGTGCTCTATGTTCAGGTACTTACTGGAATTGGTGATGTTGGGATTTTTATTTGTTGGATTGGGTTAATTTTTTATTGTTGGATTGTAGGATGAATTGGATGGAGAAGCGGAGGTGCTGTTGGATCCGAATGGGTTGAGTGAAGATGGGACGGTGGCACTCACTTCGCCTTCGATTAGCGAGGATGGGGAGTACTTGGCATATGGGTTGAGCTCGAGTGGGAGTGATTGGGTGACAATTAAGGTGATGAGGGTTAAGGATAAGAAGCCGGAGCCCGATTCCTTATCTTGGGTGAGCAGTGAGGACTTCTTTTTTGGCTAATTTATTAAGTTTTTAGATTATGAACATTAGGGTTAACTGTTTTAATAGAAGTGCCATACTTTTAATTTTTTACATGTGGATTACTGTATTCTTGTTTCGTGATATTCTCAACATTGTTGCATGCTCCTTCTACTGCATAGTAAGGGTTTGAGAAGTTCCAAACATATTTAAGTGATCATGTGCACGAGTTGCTGCATGGATGAATTAGTGCCCAAGATGCATTGTCTTGGGATTGACAAACTGTTAAGTTTGTTATCATGGTATCACAAAGCATTGGTTGTATTAAAGCAAATGCTACTTTTTTTTTTCTATTAAAAGTCTACAACTAGAACACACCTTTCTTTCGCTAAGTTTTAGCAGTAAAAAATGTCATATTTGGTAATGCAAATGTGACAGTCAAGCGTATCTTGCTTATTTGTAATCTACTACATGAACTAGGATTTGCCACTAAGAGTTATAAAAGTTACTTTTCATTTGGGAGCATAGCTACTGTTACGATGAGCCTGTTTAAAATTATTCCTTCACCTTTTTGGTTTCATGGATAGGCAGGGATACTAGTATTTCCAAGAAATTTAGATCAATTACTGATCTGAATTACAAGAAAATATGCTGATGGAAAATCGAGGATACAATGAGAGTCAATTGAGATGGTTTGACCATGTACAATGGAGCCAATAAATACACTAATTAGGAGAATTGATTAGATTATAGTTAATGGGGCAAAGAGGACTAAAGGTAGACCTAAAAAAACTTGGTTAGTAAACAAATAAGAAGGATGTGATAATAGTTAACATAGTAGATGACTCCTAACATACATGAATGGAAGATTAGGATTCACGTAGCTGACTTCAAATATTTGGGTTAATGGCTTTGTTGTTGTCGTCGTTGTATGACTATGGAAACTAATTTCGGTATAACGTGCATAATTTTTTGCTCTTGGGGGAAGTAGATAACCCCATTGTTTAGCTTTTCGATGATTCAATCATAACTTTGTCGCGGATATTTTGAAATTAGATCATCCTCTTCTTCTTGCAGTCACAATCTTCTCTTCTGGTCCATGGATTTCCTTGCAGTTAACAAACATCATGTTTCTTTCCCTGCATAGAATATATACCCTTTACAACACATTAGGTCCATGTTAGCAAATCATCTAGACATTGTTGTCTGGGTGTTAACTTTCAATGCTAAGTCCTTGGTATAAGAATGAGAATGACAAAAAGCTATTTCTTTTAAAACAAGAGTTAAATATGATGTTATTTACCATTAAAGCTCATCACCATAATCTTTTCTTTTTATTAGATGTGCAATTGTGCATTAGTTGTAATTATTAGTCTTCTTAAAAGTCAAACATCTTAGGAATACTTAATCTACCTATCCAAATCATCATTTGTGACGTAAACAGATTCTCTAGCCAGCAAACAGGGGAACTCAAAGAGTCTTCTTCTAAAACAGAATCCAAAGGACACATTTCCAAAACATGTGTATATTCAATGAATTATTGGTGCAGCTTTAGATCTTAATTCATTTATGCCCAATACAGGTTAAATTTTCATCAATCAACTGGACTCATGATGGAAAGGGATTCTTTTATGGCCGTTATCCTGCTCCCAAGTAAGTTAAATTAGTTATTTATTTTAATAGAATGCTTTGTGATGGCACTGATAAGCTGCAGTTGTCATACACTATAGGGAAGGGGATGAGTTGGATGTTGGAACAGAGACCAATATCAATTTGAATCATCAGCTTTACTACCATTTTTTGGGCACAGATCAATCAGAGGATATATTGTGCTGGGAAGACCCCGAGCACCCAAAGTATACTTTTGGAGCCGATGTCACTGATGATGGGAAGGTCAGTTCCTTCCTTGAAGATGTATACGTTTACTAAGAATGGTTGTTTTATTTAATAACATTTGTAGGATGGTTGTTTTATTTAATAGCATTTGTAAGTCTTTGAATGATTTTTTTGTGTCTATTTCGGTATATTTCTTGGTCACAATCATGTTTCACTTTGCATGATGGTCCATATGGTCGTTTCAGGTATTGAACTATATTTTTATACCGAAAAATCGAAGCGGATTGTGTTGACCTTGTTACGCAGAAACGAATTGTTTTATCTTTTGTCACGTAAGAGCAGTCCATACATTTTTCCACTTTCAATCCTATGAACAATTGCTCCATAATTAAGGATAATGTGTATTCCTAACTTAGCCCAAAAACAAAATAATCCAAAGGTCATGAAAATATGTAAATAATCTCTTTTAGCTGAGAAATCATGTGGCCTAAATCATAAAAATTAAACAGTTTGTGATACTGTCAAACTTGTTTGAAGAGTCCCTTTGTCATAAATAAATATTTTGCACCTAAATTCACTTAATATAAGAGTATGATACTTATGGGTTTAAGAATAGCTCTTAAAGATGCTAATACCCTGAATGCCCAAGAGAAGTAATAACTTAACCATATTATGACTAAGCATTGGTGACATAACAAAGAATTTTCTCTAAACTGGATAGTAATATTTTTCAAACACTTTGTTAAGAACATTATTTTCGAAAGCGTGAAATAATATTATAGCCTTATGAGTAAACATTTTCTGATGTAATGAAGAGAAAATTGTACGAAGCTGTTACTTGTTGGCTTAAGGAAGTGTTTTTCCAAAAATAGTGCTTGAAGGACTGAATTTTCCTAAATGTTGGGGAAATAACTGTATAGCCACATTATAACTAAACATTGGTAATACGTAATGCTATTTCCTTAAGCATAAATTGATATTTTTGAACTATGTTTTGAGAACAGTATTTCCCCAAACTCTTATGAAAATAATTGTATAACCATATTAGGTGTATATATGTTAATTTCATAAGGAGGAAAATTGTATGCCAATAAAGATGGCAGATGTTTCCGATAATTTCTTTGGAAAAGAAGTTACGTTGTATTATCCAAAATATGAGATCACTATTGGCCATATGTAATTAAAATAATGCCAAGTGAAACGTCTTGAGATGAAACTCCTAAGTTCTCACTATAGGAGATGATAGGTTACATGTTCAGCTATTACCCAATACCAATAGAATAACAAATGATAATTGTTGAAGGATATTTCTCTCTTCTAATTGTTGAAAGGATCATGATCTTCTAGCGCAACGCGTAAGTGATAAACATCGGAATCCACCAAATGGTGATTTTTAAGTTCACGAAGAACTTCGAATATATAAAGAAAATATTATAAGAGGAAATTTACTGAAAAAAGTTATCTGTTCATGAGGTTTACAGTTCTTGTTAAATAAAAAAACAAAGTGTACTTCTAACATAAATAAAATTCCCAAAAATAGAAATTCTTCAAAACTACCTAAAATACTCAGTATAGTAGAGGAAACAAATCAGTCTAACTTGAACTAAAATTGAATTTGTTTCCTCCTAAATAGACTTCAATTTTATTACTAAAATATCCTAAAGGCTGATTATTTTAGAATTCTGCCAAATATGGGTGTAACTGTTGGGATTCTGGAAATCTGCCAAGCTGGTTGACTCCGTCTTGTTGAGATTGGCAATTTTCATTTGTAACTTGTTTGATTTTGCTTTTCGGATTGAGAGATATGGTTGTTTCTTTGCGGGCAAGTCAATGATGCATCCATATTTGTGTTTGGCTCGTGACGGTTCCACTGCTCCATGAATTTATTCGTTATGCATCCTACATCATCTTCTGACTTAGATTTGAAGTGTATAGAATGATTATGTTAAAGTTAGCTTCAACAATGTAATCGCCGTTAATGGCAAGGAATTTTCATGACATACAGAGCAAAAATAGGAGCCAATTAGTAGTTGGAGAAGATTTGAACATTTTTTATGTTGTGATTTGAACTTAAGGTCTAATATATGTGATTTTTGTCATTTGTTGTGTAGCCAGTTAAACAGATTGATTTCAAGCTCATTATGCCATGGTAGATCAAGATATTTCCTGTGCCTTGTTATTAGACATTGACCCCTTTGAATTGCATCCAGTACTCTATGCATATTATTTATAACCAAGCTTAGCTATATACAACTTCAGCTTACTTCTATTTGGTTTTTGCAGTATGTTCTTCTGTATATCGCGGAAGGTTGTGACCCTGTAAACAAACTGTATTATGTTGAGCTGCCTTCACACTCTCTTGGGCTTGAAGATTATAAAGAATGTAAAAATGGGCTGCCCTTTGTTAAACTTGTTGACAATTTTGAAGCAAGTTATGAAGCTGTCTCAAATGATGGAAGCGAATTTACATTTTTGACAAATAAGGATGCTCCGAGATATAAGCTAGTTCAACTAGACCTCAAGGAACCTGGACTATGGAAGGATGTTCTTAGCGAACATGAAAAAGATGTGCTTGAATCTGCTGCTGCAGTTAATGGTAACCAGATTATTGTGAGTTACCTAAGTGATGTCAAATATGTTCTGCAGATAAGGGATTTGAAAACAGGAGCCTTGCTGCATCATTTACCCATAGAAATTGGTTCTGTGACTGGAATCTCCTGTAGGCGCACAGATAGTGAGGTTTTCATTGGCTTCACTGGCTTCCTTACTCCTGGTATCATTTATAGGTGTAACTTGGCTACTGAAGTTCCAGAAATGAATATATTCAGAGAAATATCTGTTTCGGGATTTAATCGATCAGATTTCCAGGTCAAACAGGTAAAGTTCATATGAATATAGTGCATTTTTAAAATTTTCTATATGCATGAATGGATGCATGTGTTTGTAAATTATGTAATGTCACTATGTCAGTAAGTGCATATGCATCAGACACAGTACAAACTGAATCACTCATTGTTTGGTAGCTCGGGAAGGGCAGAAACAGTTCGAAGGAAAAGAGAAATCTGATTTAAATATTCTAAAGGACAGAGAAGCTAGAACATTTCAATATCATCTATGACCTCCATGTAGACCCAACAAACTTCATTCACTCCATCCTCTATTTATATAATGCGTATAATAGGATAAGAACCGAGTCTTCCACTTATGTACAGAAATTTAAGAAAGATCAACTTCACTTCACGGTTAACTTTGTGCTTCTTTCTTGCATGTTGAGTACATTATTAAAAAGGCAGGTCCATCTACATGCAAATTGGTTCTTAAGGTTCTAGTTTTATAGCTCTAACTTGCTTATCGTGCCTTGACTGGAAAGTAGGAAATGCAATTCCCCAACCCAAAACTTGGTAGAAACTGGAAAAGTTCTCCCTGGGGTACCAACTACCAATAGGTAGGGTGATGATCTTATCTTTACGTTATTGTAATTTGTCTATACTCAATCATTTACTCTTACCCTGATAGTTAATTACTAAATTACGACTATCCTAACCTATATGGTAATGGGTGAGAGGGGGGAACAAAGTATTGGTACAAATTGGAAAGTAGATAACATATTTAATAAGCTAATGTGAATCCGATGCCCTAACTTTCTCATTTATTTACTAAGATAAATATTGGTCAATTTATGAGATTAATATCATACGCTATTAGTACTACTTATTTTTTTATTAAGGGTAAGAAAATTATACTACTTATTATTTTTTATTAATATTATACACTATTAGTACTACTTATTTTTTTTAATTTAGTACTACTTATTTTTTATTTAAAATGAGTAAATACCTTAAAATTAAGGGTAAGAAAATTATATTGTTACCCTACTCATTGAGGTAAACTGGTAAGAAATTCTTAATTTCTCTGTCTATTTTAGTCAACACGTAAGAGATCTCCTTGTTCTAAATAATAGGATAAAAAGATTGACCCTTATTGATTGCCACTCGTACTTCTTCCTTTTTTTTTTCCATCCTCTCATTCAACCCGCTTCACTACCTCTCTCACTCATCAACTACCCCCCCTATTGTTGTTTTCGCCACCATTATTTTATTGTAAGTTCGTCTGCCCTTTGCCACCTCTATCATCACTACAAAAATTTCATATCAGCATGTTTCATTTGTCATTTCCATGTATATTGTATCATGTATCATAAGATTAATTAACACACATGTACTAATTACTTAATTATGTATATAACGTCAATGCAATAGAAGGAGATGAATAAGCGTAAAATAAGTGATAGATAATCCACTTGAAATACTAAAATCTTATAGGAAACAACGTACATGTAGAGAACATAGAACCAAGTCTGATGATTATGCAAGGCTATTAATCAAAATGGTAACTCTTAATTCCATCTCAACAATGAACATAATAAATTTATGAATGATAATTCCTAAAATTCATATCAATCTCAGATACAACAAATCAAGCTAACTAATATAACATTAATCATCATCTTCCCACTCACCTAACGTCGGAACCCTCCCTCTGCCCCACAGAAAAAAAACCAAAAAATATACAACAAACCAAGCCAACGTAACATCAATCTTCATCTGCAATTGATCCAGCAATATCATTGTCTTTAGTGATGGTATCTTCATTTTCTTTCATCATTATCTTCTTTCGCTTCCATATTTTTTATTGTGGACTTCAGGTTTTGACTTTTGATATTTTATCCATAATTGGCAGAGGAATAAAAAGTTATTACATATTTGAAAAGTTGAGAACAAAAAGTTAATGATTTATTAGAATTAGTAATTATATCTCTTCTTTTTGTTTTCTTTTGGGTAGTGCTACTTGATCCGTCAAGTTTGTAGTGCTCATGGATCTGCGTCCAGAAGTTCATCACATAGGGAAGTTGCTCTCTTTTTGTTCTGGTCAACGTTGCAAGTTGTGGAGGCAAACTGGTATCACATATATGTCCAGTTTCCTTCCCTCCTCATTTGCCTAATTCCTAGTTGGAGGTTTTACTTGACGAAAATCATGTTAAATTTTTGCAAACTATTTCTCTATCCCCTTGGTATCAGAAGGCTGAACAGTTGGATTGCCTATTATGGGAGTTTAGGGATTAGTCGGTTTAACAGTAAGTGGAGAAATCAATTAGGCGTGGTGACATGTTTTATAGGTATTGTTGGCTTGAATGGTCTCTTTTGTTCAAAGGCTATGCCCATTTTCAAACCTGTAATTAAGCCTTATAAGTGTGTCTAAAATAAACTTCATTAATAAGTTGAGTCAACTTACTATAGGATATGTAGTAAGCGACAATTCTATCATAAGATAATTACTGAGCTATAACCAATAGATACATACATAAATATCTAGTTTCCTGCATATTATATCAAATCATAAAATAAGTATTATCTACCATAAGATATTGACAATTCTGACTATCCCCGCACAGCCACACTTATTCTCTATTTCATCTCCGACGCTACTGCAAGCTCCTGTTGCTGATGTATCTTCACAAACTTAACCACTTCTAATGCCACTTTCTTTGCCAGTGCCATCACTGTCATCAATCTTTTGCTGCCACACCTCCACCATCTTCTCTCAACCATCTCCCTTAGCCACCACTGTGCAGTACAGTTCCAGTCTTGTCTTTGCTTAATTGGTGTTTTCACAATCTTTATTGTTTTGGTCCTCTTCTCTTTCTGACAACTATACCTTTGCCATGATCTTCACTGATGTGTCCATCTCCGTTGCATCATTCTACTATTCGCACTTCTGCTGCTTATGCCTCCACTGCCATTATCCTTCCATTACAAACTGATACCGTTGTCTTAACTTGTTCCTCCACTATTATCCCCCTTCATCTTTGTTTCCTCCACTATTATCCCCCTTCATCTTTGTTTCCGCTGCCACCACCTCTTCCCCGTGTTCTCTCTTTCTTTTGTTATTTCTTCTCCTTTCTTCTTTTTTCTTTTGAACAATGAATTTCAAATGATGAGGATTCTAACTCAATGGTGGCAAAGTGATGGGAATTTGGATATGAAATGTGTGGCGCTGGAAACCTGGAGAATGAACCTCCTTAATGATGTCTAAGTGATGGGAATTTGGAAATTAAATATGCGGTATTGGAAACCTTTGTAGAATGAACCTCCTTCCCAATTATGGAAACGTGATGGGAATTTTGAAATGAAATGTGTGGTATAGGAAACCTTTGGAGATTGAACCTCCTTAAAGGGCTGCCATCAAGTCGCTAGCTTAGTTGTAAAAATTTGGCATCCTATTTTCATGGAGGCAAGTGGAGCTTCCTCGACTCCGTCTCATGCTCCCTAGACAATCACATTATGTTGGAAAAGGGTGGGCTATTACCTTTTCTCACGAATCTTTTCTTTTCGGATGATATCTCATAGAATGGAGAAGAAAAAAGTTCCCACATAAATCTTCCTCTTTACATCTGAACTTCTTACTTGTTGGAACTATAACAACATCATGCTTAATGTCCAGCTGTTATTGTATATTATATTCAACATAGATGTTTCCTTGCACCTTTCACTAACAAACACCCATACATCCTGATTTCAAGGCCATTCTCCCTTCTCCTGGAGGGCATAATTGCATATAAACCAAATTTCTGCATTATAATTGTTCTTTTGATTACTAAGTTTCTTAATGTGGTGCACGTAGGTTTTTGTTGGCAGTAATGATGGAACCAAGATACCCATGTTTATCGTCTCCAAGAACAACATTAGTTTGGATGGATCACATCCTTGTTTGTTATACGGTTATGGTGGATTCAACATTAGCATCACACCATCATTCAGTGTCAGCCGTATTACTCTTGTAAGAAACCTGGGTGTTGTTTATTGCATAGCAAATATTCGTGGTGGGGGAGAATATGGAGAGGAATGGCATAAAGCAGGATCACTTTCAAAGAAACAGAATTGTTTTGATGACTTTATTGCTGCATCGGAATTCCTTATTTCTTCTGGGTATACGAAACCCCAAAGATTATGTATTGAGGGTGGAAGCAATGGTGGGCTTCTAGTAGCTGCTTGCATCAATCAGGTATAGCTGTAGTTGTTTTTTTCCTATCACAGTTAAAGTTCCTCTGTGAAGAAATAAAGAGCTTCATAGTCCAAATGTGCGCAAATGTTCCAGAATCTAATCATTAGGTCTTGAAACAAATTTAATCCGAGCATGTTGTTGCAGCGACCTGATTTATATGGGTGTGCTTTGGCTCATGTTGGTGTTATGGACATGTTGCGATTCCACAAATTCACTATTGGTTGGCATCTTTCTGAATTTGTTTCTAATTCGCTTTTATGTTTTATGGATCTGTTCTCTCCGAATGCCATTTCTGAGCCATGTACACTATTCTTCAGGTCATGCATGGACATCTGATTATGGTTGCTCAGACAAAGAGGAAGAGTTCCAGTGGCTTCTCAAGTATGAACCTAATATTAGGCTATGATATCTTGGTTTAATGAACTTGTCTTACAGGAAGTATATCTTTTGACTTAACGTGTGAAATTTCAGTAAGAATGCAAGTTTTTTTTTTCCTTTTCTGGGTAAGTATAATTCTCATTACCAAAGTAAGCTTTGAAAGTACATCTTCCTTTACACTATAAGACCCTTACATCAAATAGGATCTGAACCCAAAACAACTACACACAAAACTTCTATCTATACCAAGAAACTAAAACTAGTCTCAAACAAAATTTGGGTTAATCTTCATTTTCCAACACCAATCTCTGTTTTCTCTTGTGTCTTTTATCTTCAAAATACGCTGCACTGTATTTTAAACTCAACCTTGATGTTCTGCTCCACTTCATCAACCGAGATACTCTTGTCCTGAAATATAAACAGGTTTCTAGCTCTCCATACATGATTTATACAAGCTGCCACTGCTGCTTTTTTAATTCCCCTGATAGATTTGCATCCATTCCAAGCTCTTATCATTCAATTAATCAAAGTTTGCCAATCCTGGGGAGTGTTATAGTCACATACAAACTCCATGCAGGCCCTCCATACTTGTAGACTGAAATCACACTGCAAAAAGAGATGATCTCTTGATTCAGAATTAAGATTACACAATTCACAAACATCATCAAACAGGATACCAATATGATGGAGCTTCACTTTAGTAGGAATTCTGTCTAAGCA